ATAGAATTTGAAGTAATTTGTGCTACCAAGTTTATATTTAATGTTTCTGAAGGTTGGTCATAATCTTGAGAGTTACATGTTACATGTTTTCTTTCTACATGTCTTTTAAAAAAAGCTAACGATTGAAAAGATTGAAAACACGAGTCTTCACAACATTCATAGGTGCTATTGGGTTTTAGCATGTGAATAATTTTAAAATGAATTACCAATGATTGATAATCCTTCACGGACAACTTACAAATATAACAAATCATGTTACTCACTTACCTGAGAAGATGGAAGTATTTACGAAGTCCTTATTATAGGCCACTTATAAAACACACAACTACATAAAAAAAACACATTTACCATTGACAAATGAGAATTAAATACAGCGGGTAGGCGGCAGCTAAACAATTATTTTAATTTTTTAATATAAAATGGCACTATGACAGTTTTGCTTCTATGAGGCATGATAACACTGATAATAAATATTGTTAATTTAACGATGCCATCGTAATGCGGGGGAAACCCATGATCCATTTTATAAAAATATCTAAATTATTTTTCAGACATATTTCGAGCGTATAAAATATTTATCAAGCCTACAATATTATATTATTAAAATTTCTATATTAAATAAAATTGAGTTAACAATATTATCATCATGTTGACAAAAATAATTTATTGTACAGATCACATATTCTCATTGTTTTGATAAATGTTCTTATTAAATAAATCATTTTTATCATGATACATGAATAATGTTCAATTAATCGAATTAACAATATCACTATAGKGAATACAATATTCTATTGTTAGGTATGCATTTATTATTATTGGGCATATAAAACCACCATTATTAATAGTTAACAATTATGTCTTGTCTATACTACACAGAACTTTTCTTTGAGTGTATAATAAATGGTTAAAATAAAAAAAATCTTACTTGTCACATTGCATAGCCCTGCATCTTCAGYATTGTCCAGAATCTTAACGCACATATCATCATACCCATCGTTAAAATCTCCCTTTGACTCATCAGACCTATTCGGAGTGATCTCGATATTATCTTGAACGCGAGCAACAGCTTGTAAAATAAATATTAAATTGAATTAAAAAAAATATATATATATATTAAAATAAACATACCGTGAATGTTTTTCATATGTCTGCTCAGATTAGACTTGGTACTTAACGTAGCATTGCAAAAAGAGCACGAAAAGCGAATTCCTTGGTGTATGATTTTGTGTCTGAGCAAACTATCTTTACGCGTAAACGTAGATGCACACTGATCGCACTTAAAAATTTTTAATAAAAACACTAAGTGTTAGGTGCAAATAATGCTTAAAAATTAAAACGCAAAGAAATAAACACTGAAAAAAAAATATTTTTAAATTCACAAAAATGTTTAAAAACGAAGCGACTACGTGAGCAACGGTTTTAAGACTGAAATGTTAATTATTTTCATCGAATGAGTTGAGGAAGCCGCTGTCCGGAGAATAGACTTCTGACATTTCTCTATTGCCACTCTCTATTCTACACTGCCAATCCGTCATTCATCATATTCCTTATATCTTAATTTAACAAGGACCATTCATTCTTATATTTAAAATGCGTATTTGCAGTTCCAGGATTTTCCAATGTTTATTTTAACTTAAAATAACTATTGTAATGTTATTTTTTTTATAAATACCATTACATTTGTATTTATTGTTAATGTTTGTTATTGTTTATTCATAACAAAATTTATGTTACATAGGTACCTACGTAATTCTGAATATTTCAGTCATCTAGTAATAATTGTTTTTTGGCCTTATTATTAAAAACAAGCCTTACTAATATACAACATGGAACATGATTAAAGTGCAGTTATCTATTACAAAACACAATGGTAATAATATCTCAAAAATTTCATAGGCTTTTATTGATATTTAAACTGAAGAGTTATGAGAAATTTCAAAAGATATATTTTGCAAATTTATATCGTTAACCTTAGTATTTCATATTGATAAAAGTAGGTATCTCGCTTAACATAAAATAAAATATAAAAATATAGGAAGATTCACTATTACTTTCTTCATAATTAATTGAATTGAAAACATTTTCAGTGTTTTATTTTTAAATATTATCAGTGACTATAATAGGTAAGTAATTTATTTGTCAAAAACATATGTTAAAAATTAATGTAAAAATATTTATTATTACTTGATATTTTTTTGTATTATTCGATGCTCGGTTGCATAACAATTTGTCATTGTAGTGAATGTAATTAGTAGTTATAATTTTTAGATTAAATTTAATTAAGTAAATTCAAATTAGTACCCAGATATAAATAGAGATCACAAAAACTATTTTATTTAATTATAATGTTAGAAATAAAATAGTCTATGATAAATTAGGTGCATATTTGAGATTTAATGATGCACATAGTGTCATAGACCAAAGTGTAAAAATAAATAATTACTAGGCTTCCTTTCTTCATAATGTTTGATTTTTCTTCAGTCTTTTTTTTTTTTGTCATCCTAACAATAAATTTAACATATTTAACAGCTGAAACTAAACATTGGCCAAGGAAATCTAATTACATTTGTTGATTGTTTATTTATATATCATTCAAAATTATTTATAACTTTATAAGAATACTTAATTTCATTAGAAAATAATAATTTCTATAAATTTATCGAAATTTATGTATACCCTGTTAGTAATTTGTGTATCGGTACTTTTTATTCACATCCCATTTAAAAATGTATGCCAATTTTAAGCACCTCTATAATAGGAATAAAAATAATTGCATTAAATAACCGGGATTATTAATAGTTGAAAATTGTATTGTTAGTTTCAGGTTTACGATATTAAACCTTGGACATTGATAATAGTTATAACAAATCATATTTGGCATTTTGATTAAAAAGTTGCGTCTTAAAATATTTTCTTTGTTTGATTTTTAAATTAATATAAAAAATAACTGTTAAATTTATTACCTACCAAGAGATGTTTATATTAACACATGGATAAATTTAAAACGGGCTAGTTTATTTTAATGTAATAATGCCTGCATAAAAGTAGTTAGTTATAGAGAAACCATTATAATGATTACAAGTAAAATTAATAAAACTTTATAATGAAAATATGTAAACTGAATGATCTGTTAAACCTATATGTCATACTGAAGCTTAAAATGTGTATTAAGTGTTTCATAAATAACATTATTTAGATAATTTAAAATTATTTGTCATACACTTAGAATCAGTTTGAATTAATAATATGTCATATTATCATCATGTATCTACTTAATATTAAATAAATAATTTTTTTATACAAATCATTTGCAACCCAAAATATTAATTTTTATTTAATTTGTGTTGAATGTTCACTTTAAAGTATGGTGTAGGTATCTACTATTGTATTTAAATATATGAGTCG